AGGCCCAGCTAACACCTTGATTTCACATTTTTTGCCCCCAGAATTGTGAGAGAATAAGTTTCTGTTGTCACCAAGTGTTAGTTTTTTAAAATGTGTGATAAAATATTTAAAATATACAGAGTTATAAAGAATAATACAACTTTCCATTTGCCCAACATCCAGCTTAAGTTATGAAACACTGTAAACACAGTGAAATTCCATAGTACATCCCTCCCCTATGTCTTCCGCTGCTGCCCCTTAAAGGATTTCATGTTCCTGAATTTGTTTATTCCCAGGCACTTCCTGTATCATTACTAGACGTGTATTTAGCCCTAGGAAATACATTATGTCATTTTGCATATTTTTAAACTTTACAAAAATGGCATTGTGCTATGTGTATTCTTCTGCAACTTGTAATTTTTTTCATTTCTATTAGATTTATCTGTGTTGGAATTGTACCTCTGGTTCATTCATTATTACTTATGTGTAGTAGTCCACTCAATGAAAATAACACAAACTATTTTCCTACAGTTAGACATTTAAGCTTTATCATTTTTTTCTTCCTTTCCTTTTTAGCTTTTCAAACCACGTCTCTTATATGTCTGATGGAGCGCAGACACAATAACCCTCTAGGATACATACTCAGCAGTGGATCCCAGGATGTACTCGCTTCAACTTCACTCGATACTGTCAAATTACTTTCCAACGTGTGTCAAGCAGCAAGTGTTTATGCACTTCAGTTGTTCTACATCCACACCAACTCTTGATAGTGATAGGTTTTTAATTTTTTAATTTCTGTCCCTCTCAAGAGCATTAAAAACCCTCATTTTTATATTAAATTGCATTTCCCTATTTACCAGAAAATTAGAGCGATTTTTTTTTTTTTTTTTTTTTTTTTTTTTTTGAGATGGAGTCTCGCTCTGTCGCCCAGACTGGAGTGCAGTGGCACGATCTCAGCTCACTGCAACCTTCACCTCCCGGGTTCAAGAGATTCTCCTGCCTCAGCCTCCTGAGTAGCTGGGATTATAGGTGCACGCCACCATGCCTGGCTAATTTTTGTATTTTTAGTAGAGATGGGGTTTCGCCATGTTGGTCAGGCTGGTCTCAAACTCCTGACTTCATGATCTACCCCCTTCGGCCTCCCAAAGTGCTGGGATTACAGGCATAAGCCACCTCGCCTGGCCGTCTTTTTATTTGTTTCTTTTTCTCTTTTCTTTTCTTTTTTTTTCTTGAGACAAGGTCTGATTCTGTTGCCCAGTCTGGAGTGCAGTGGCATGATTTCGCCTCACTGCAACATCCACCAGGGTCAAGTGATTCTCCCATCTAAGCCTCCCGAGTAGGTGGGATTACAGGCATGTGCCACCATACTGAACTACTTTTTGTACTTTTAGTAGAAATGGGGTTGGGCAGGCTTGGAGCAATTTTTCATGTGCCTATATTATTTCTGTTCTGTCTTTTGTAAACTGCCTATTCTTCTCTTTGCCATTATTTTCTATTGAGTTGTGTGTCTTTTTCTCATTGATTTCTAACAGTTTTTACATATTCTGGATACTGAACCTTTGTTGGCCATGTATGTTGCCCATTATTTCTCCTGGTCTGTGGTTTAACATTTTACCTTTTAGGATGTGTTTTAGCTTTCTTTTATACATTATGTTTTTACATCTCATTAAGAAACTTCTACAACAAATTCACAAAGGCATTTTCTAGTATTTTATTCTTCAAGGTTTTAAGTTTTGCCTTTTCACATTTATGTCTGTAATCCTCTTGGACTTCTTATTTCCCTTACAGTATGAAATGGAGATCTTTTTATCATATACATAATCAATTGTCCTTAACCCATTCATTGAAAAATTATTAATCTTTTCCCCACTAGCACTAACATAACATATATCAAGTTTATATATATGTATACACACACACACACATACACACACACGACATCTGTGTGTATATTGGTTGCCTATTAATGCACAATGAATTATTCCAAAATTTAGCAGCTGAAAACAATAAACTTTTATTATCTCACAGTTTCTGTGGTTTAAGAATCTGGGAATGGTCTAGCTAGGTAATTCTGGATCAGGGTCTCTCATAAGACAGTGATTAAGGGGTTGACCAAGCAGCAGTCTCTTCGAAGCTCTACTGAAAAAAGGATCCACTTGCAATTTCACTGTGTAGCTGATGGCAGGCGTGTGGCCCTCACTGGCTGTTGACCAGAGACATTGGTTCCTTGCCACATGCATCTCTCCTTAGTGTAGATCACAATGTAACAACTTGCTTACCCTCCAAGTGAGAGATCAAAGAAATTGACAGAGCTCCCAAGATAAGAATCACACCCTTTTCCTTCTCTAATCTAAGAAGTGACACCTTATCATGTCTGTCATGCTCTTTGTATAAGAAGTGAGCCACTAAATCCAGCCCATATTCAAGGTTAGGGAAGTAGACAAGACTGTCAATACCCAGAGGTGGGGATCACTGGGGTTATCTTAGAGCTGCCTACTGCCGTTTCCATTTGTTGATCTATACTAGGATCCCCACCATACTGTCTTTTTTTTCATACCGTCTTCATTACTGTAGCTTGTACAAAGTCTTGTTATCTGGTAGAGAATATTCCTCTACTTAATTATTATTCAGTATGTCTTGTCTATTTGGGACCCTAAAAATAGAATCTAGGATCTGTGTGTTCATTTTAATTGAAAATCCCTGGGCCAGGCGCTATGGCTCATACCTGTAATCCCACTTTGGGAGGCCAAGGTGGGAGGATCACTTAAGCTCAGGAGTTCAAGAGCAGTCTGGGCAACATAGGGAGATGCTGTCTCCACAAAAAATAAAATAAAATAAATTGTCTGGGTGTGGTGGTGCATGCACACAGTCTCAGCTACTTGGGAGGCTGAGGTGGGTGGATGGCTTGAGCCTGAGAGGTCAAGGCTGCAGTAAGCTGAGTCTTCACCACTGCACTCCAGAATGGGCAACAGAGTGAGACTCTCAAAAAAAAAAAAAAAAAAAAAGAGAAAAAGAAAAACTCTGTTGAGATTTTTATTGGAATTTCAGTACATGAACAGATTAATTAGTAAATGAATTTATAATTTATGATATTGAGTCTTCCTATTCATTTACATGCTTTATATCTCACACATTCTGAGAAACTCACCAGAAAGATTAATGCAAAAGAGCTGGGCACGGTGTCTCATGCTTACAATCCCAGTACCTTGGGAGCCCACAGTGGGTGGATCACGTGAGGTCAGAAGTTCAAGACAAGCCTGGCCAACATGGTGAAACTTTGTCTCTACTAAAAATACAAAAATTAGCCAGGCGTGGTGGCACGTGCCTATAATCCCAGCTACTCAGGAGGCTGAGGCAGGAGAATCGCTTGAACTCGGGAGGCGGAGGTTGCAGTGAGCCAAGATCATATCACTGCACTCCAGCCTGGGTGACAGAAGAAGACTACATCTAAAAAAAAAAAAAAAAAAGAGTAATGCAAAAGAAGACAATTTGAGTGTCTTTTCAATAATTCAGTGGTAAAGTAGAGTAAATGGAGAGTTTGCGTATTGCCCCAATTCCTAGGTTTAAAAGGTTTAAGGTCTAGGTCCATATAGAAGTTCTATAGTTCTAATAGACTGTGTTTTGATGAAATACCCTCAATAAGTTTGAGGTATGCACAACATTTCTGCTGAAATCCTTATCCTGCCCATCCTTTGCAGTGGACATCTATGGTTCAGTTTACCCAGCAATCCTCCTTTCTTATAAAAACATAATTCCTCTTTTTTGGGGGTACGGATCTTCCCCAAACTCCAACCAAGTGGTTCTAATCCAGGTTTCCAATCACAGTGCTCCAATCACAGGAGTAAGCACAGGTCCTAGACCAGGCCAGTCACAGCGCCTTCCTAGCTTTTCCAACTCGATAAAATCCAGGCTGACTGGATAAAATCCAGAGGGAGAGTTTACTCAAAATGAAGCTGAGACACAGAAAAAAGCTGAGATGAGAGACATGGACATCTTAGCAGTGGCCAGGTGGTTAGTGCCATACACATCCCTGCCCAACCTCATTTTGGTTAGGTGAGCACTAGTCATTCTCATTTATTCTTTTAACAACAGAAGTATTTAATGAGCATCTACTATGAGCCAGTCATTGAAGTCACAGTGATGACTAAGCCTTCCAGTGATCACAAAATATGTTAATGTAAAAAGTATTGCAAGTCGTGGACATTTGGAACCTAAGTAGGCAAACCATGACTTACATCTCGTTTAGGCTGGGCCCAAGAGGCTAAGATGGGAGGATCACTTGAGCCCAGGAGTTAGCAGCCTGGGCAGTATGGTGAAACCCCATCTCTACAAAAAATACAAAAATTAACGGGGCATGGTTTTGCAACCTGTATTCCCAGCTAATTAGGAGAATGAGGCAGGAGGATTGCTTGAGCCCAGGAAGTCCAGGCTGCAGTGACTACAGTAAGCTGAGATCACACCGCTGCTCTCTAGTCTGGGTGACAGAGCCAGACACTGTCTTAGAAAAAAAAAAAAAAGAAGAAAAAGAAAACTAATTTAGTTCCCACTAAATCCTGTTAGGAAGCTCAGAGAGGGTCAGTAATTATTGCAAGCTTCTAGCGCTAATACATAGCCAAGACTTGAACATATAGAACCAAGACTTGAACATATGTTTTTGACTCAATTGTTTTAATTACTCTATGCTGCTTAAACTGAGACGCCTCTGAATCTTACAGTTTTAAAAGAACAACTCACAGTTCTCACTTTCCATCAGATTCTAATTTTCTACCAAACTGCAGCCCTGAGGTATGAATGGTTACCAACTTTAGTTAAACAAACAAAAGTTAGGTCATCAAGAAACAGAAAAACCACTCTTCCCAGCCTGCATTTGTTTGTTTAATGAGTTTGCCTTTTTAAGGGCAAGGCTCCTTGGGAGTTGTAGTCTGAGACATAGTCCTGTGGGTGGAGGCGCTGACTCACTAGGACCCAATCAGCAGAGAGTCAACTTGCTCTCCGCTCAGCGATTGGCTAAAAGTCAGCGGTCGCCCGCCCCGCGGCGCCGACGCGCGGTCCCTAGTTAAGGCGGCACAGGACTGGGGCCGAGTGTGGGTAGCTGCTCCATTCTTTGGGTCGGGTAGTTTGTGATACTGCAGCGCAGCCATGGCAGAACCGCAGCCCGCGTCCGGCGGCCTCACCGACGAGGCCGCTCTCAGTTGCTGCTCCGACGCGGACCCCAGTACCAAGGTGGGCACAGGACGGAAGGGAACGGCTCCCCGAACTCCGCTGGGCCGGGACTGGGCCGCATTCTATCCACCTCCATCCCGCCGCCGCTGCAGGTCCGCCGGCGTCAGGCGGACGGGAGTGTGCTGGGAAGAGGGATAATGGTGTTCGATGGGGGGATCCGTGGGGCCGGCGAAGTGTGGAGGGGATCCGTTGCCTCAGCCAGTTTCAAAGACTGCGACCTTGTTTTGAATTAACTTACATTGCGACGCCAGGCCAACCCAGGGTCAGGTTTCCCAAATCAATCGCCAAGGCCCACAACAGCGGTTTCAAAACTCCCAGAAAGAGGTTCAAAGGTCCCTGCCCTGTGCCAGCCCTGCTCAGCCTTGTTTTTCCTTACCGCCCTGACTCCAGTCTTAACTCCTGCAAACTGATTTGATCTAAGTTTAACCGCGCCCAGAATTTCACATTTGCTCGCTTGGCCTTTGCTGTTGCTCACTGCCGCCCTTGCCTTCCTTGCCTTCCTTGCCTTCGTGGGGCCCAGGAGAGAGTACAGAATCATAGAGTCTGGATCTGAAAGGAATCTTAGAAATTCCTTCTCTTACCCTCTCGTTCTGCAATAATAGCCCAGGAAGAGAAATGACCTGTTTGCATATGAAGGCTTTCACTTACCGAACGTGTCTTTACTGAGTAACAGTAACTCACTCAGGTGTGGTGTCTCGGTTGCATTAAGATCAGACCCAGTAACCGCTGTTTATTCCAGTGAAATCAGTGTCTGTAAATGCCTTTGTATTTATTCATTTGACAGCATCATGTGTAAATTCCTTGAAGATTGAATGTGTGTTCCCTGCAGACCTCTAAAAGGGGTAGGTGGATAAGTGGTCCATGACTCGGGTCCCTGCTTGTTCTTTACCTTCAGGGCAAAGAGTCAGACACCTCTCATTGCTAAAACTTTGACTAGCACCTGGTACTTGGTTTAGGAAAAATGTTAGTCATTGCAAAATTAAGGGGGGAAGGTAAAAAAAAAAATCCCTGTCACCTCATCCCACTTGTATATACCTTAATATTAATACCTGCTTATTTCATATAATATAAATTGAGTCACTCAGTGTAAAATAATTTCTTAGATACCTGGGAATTTTATGTAATGGGTTATTTCAAATAAACAAGAAAGATTCCTGGGAGACTTGTATAAAATATACTAAGCAAATGTCCTTGCATCTTAATTTACATTCTATAGTATCTAAATTTCTCTTGATGATTTGGAGTAATTAATTTTTGAGATCAGTAATTTTTGACCACAGAAAATACCACGTGGAGACATAAAATGGAATGCATAGTAATAGCTGGTATCTATGTGGCAGGCCCCGGCTTGGTATTTTAAGTACATTGTTAAATCCTAACAACAACCCTATTGACTCAATTTATATTATGAAGAAAGCATAATTATGATCTCTGTTTTACAAATAAGGACACTCAGGCACATAGAGGTGTTGAGTGATTCACGCAGGGAGGAGCCCACACTTCAGCCTCCACCCTGTTCTGCTTTGGGGGTGCTGACTCCAGCAGTAATTTTGGAGTTTCCCATGAAGGAAAATAAAAAATCTCAGTGAAGACTGGGTGTGGTGGCTCACGCCAGTAATCCCAGCACTTTGGGAGGCCAGAGCAGGTGGATCACCTGAGGTCAGAAGTTCAAGACCAGCCTGGCCAATGTGACGAAACTCCATCTTTACTGAAAATACAAAAATTAGCCAGGTGTAGTGGCAGGTGCCTGTAATCCCAGCTACTCTGGAGGCTTAGGCAGGAGAATCACTTGAACCCAGGAGGCAGAGGTTGCAGGGAGCCAAGATCATGCCACTGCACTCCAGCCTGGGCAACAAAGTGAGACTCTGAATTAAAAAAAAAAAAAAAAAAAAACTCTAAATGAATTAAATTCAGTTTGATCACTTGATACATTTACACTATATGTAAAGAAGATGGTAAGTACTTTGGGGATACTGGGATAAGCAAGATGAGGTCCCCTCCCTTCACCTGCTTAAATCAACTCTAATACACAGTGGACCTGGGATTAGTGTGCTATTGAAATTATAAATCACCCTGGGAGCACAGAAGAGGTAGAGGTTTTTAAAGGTAGCGTCAGTGGTATGGTGTATGCACAGGGTATTTGGAGCCTGAAGACCTGCATTTGAATCCCCACTTCTGTCATTGGCTGCAGTGACCTTGGCAGGGCAGTTGGGCTGAGTTTGTAGAAGGAAGCATAAGGATATCTTAGAGAGCAGCTATGAGGATAAAAATGACATGTATTATGTTCTCTAAACTATGAAGAGTGATACAGACAATTCAGGGTTGTATTTCAGGAAAAATGTGGTTTTCGGATGGCAGAATTGCAATGCAGGGCAGGTCCTGGAGGGTTATTGGTGTTATGGTTGCAGTTGTTACGTTATTGGTTGCGGTTCAGGTTATCTAGGCAGCGGTGGGAAAGGCTATGGTAGGTTGGGGCCAGATCATGGAGACAGCTTTGGGCATCACATCTAAGGAATTTAGATTTTCTATAGATACTGGGGAATGAGTCAGGATTTTGAAGCATTCTATAAAGTAGATTGGAGGGGTCCAAGTCTGGAGGTGATTAGGCCATTTATAAAGCTCTTCCGGAAGGTAAGTTAAGTGATGAGAGTAGCAGTGGCACAGAGTTAACTTGGTTTTTGATCATTTGCATCTTCATTAAGTCCAAAGAATGTATGGCTATAGCACATTTTGGGCATCTTTCTTGGCTGACTTTCTTCGAAAGGTCAGATTCTCCTTCCAAATGGTGATCTCCTGGAGATCTTTTATTTTTTACTCTCTGTATCTGCATCCACTGATACAGTAGACAGTGTCCTCAGTGTTGCCATTATTTCTACCACCACTACCAATGTCCGCTTTCACATCATTCCACATATATGTATATATATGTATGAATGATGGGGCCCCTGTCCCATTGAGGTAGCTGGTAGAGTTGAATGCAGAAGAAGGGAGAATAGGGAATGGAAAGGAGGAAGAAGGACAGCGGCCAGATAAATGGGTGACTATTCTAGGCACTATTCTATCTGGGCATAGAGAATTATAATATATATAAAGGCATGATGGCATCAGAGAACGGAGGCAGGGAGTCACAGGTAACACAGTGAATGAAGTTATAAGCAGGGGGACTTGAGAGAAGGGTGAGCAAAACAATCATTGGGGAGCTCAAATAAAATATCAGAACTCCCATTATATTCATTTGTTTTTCCCACCCTGTAATGATTTCTATTTAAATGATAAGGCTATGAAATGGAAAATGTTTGAGATGACCAGTTGGGGGGAGTGGTGATAACTGCTGGTGTTAGAGAAGTATACAGGTACGTATGTGCCTGCTTTGGGGACTGTCTCTCAAACATGTTGAGGAACCACTGAGGTATTGATTTTTACCCAGAAAAGACATGATACGGTTTTCTTTATAGAAAGATGACTCCAAATTGCATGTAGATAAGCCTATGAAAAGCAAAGAGATGATCATCTAGGCAGGAAGTAGTGAGGACTTCTTGCTTACCTCAAGATATACTGAAAGCAGTTGAAAAGCTCACTTTTAAAAGTCTGGAGAACAACTTCGTTCATTTTTGTTTTGTGGGAGAAATGACACCTAGTAATAAAGAGTTAACAAACCCTTTCACCTTTTATGAAAATTTGACTTTTTAACTCCCTAGTTTTCCAAGAAACAATGAAAAAATGTGTTTATTGCTTATGGTAAAAACAACTCAATTGGTAAATTGCATCTGGAGAGGGAGAATTGTCAATACTTGACAGGAAGCCATAGCTTTAGACTTCATTGCATGTAGTGAATTTTTTTTTTTTTTTTTTGAGACAGAGTCTCACTCTGTCGCTAGGCTGGAGTGGTGCAGTGGCGTGATCTCGGCTCACGGTAACCTCTGCTTCCCAGGTTCAACTGATTCTCCTGCCTCAGCCTCCCAAGTAGCTGGCATTACAGGTGCGCACCACCATGCCCAGCTAATTTTTGTTTTATTAGAGATGGGGTTTTACCACGTTGACCAGGATGGTCTTGATCTCTTGACCTCATGATCCGCCTGCCTTGGCCTCCCAAAGTATTGAGATTATAGGCATGAGCCACTGCACCCGGCCTTTTATAACTGTCCCTTGTGGTGATTCTGGAAGCTGAGCCTATGGAGTTGCTACTAGAGATATTGGTTCCTGTGGTACATGGGACCTTCTGCCTTAGGGTGATTCTCATTTATACCCAATGTGAATCTTCTCCCTATACCTGATCTGCATAGACTCCTGTAAGGACTCCCACCGAAGAGGAACACCTGATACTTCTTTCCTAACTGATACCCTTTTGAGTAAACTGGCACCCTGTATGGCCTATGGCTATGGTTGTCTTATAAGTCTGGATGTTTAATTGAGTTTTAAGAAAACTTTTTGTTGGGGGCAATGTAACACCTTTAAAAGTTCTTTGAGAGACAAAGTAGATGGTTTCTAAAGGGAATTGGGTCAGTCTTATTAAGGCCAAAACCCAATGCTTTTTAAACCAGAGAAATTTTTTAATTTCTGAAAATGTGGCTAATGCAAGTGTGGAATTTCTCCTTTCTGAAGACTGAAGGTAATAGTGGTGCTATGCCCTGAATGTTTGTGTCCCCTCAAAATTCCTATGTTGAAATCCTAATCCCTGAGGCAATGGTATTAAGAGGTGGGGCCTTTTTGAAAGTGATTAGGTAGGACACGAGGACAAAGTCTTCATGATTAGGATTAGTACCCTAGAAAAGAAACTGTAAAGAATGATCAAGCTCTTCTGCCATGTGAAGTCACAGTGCAAAAATACCATCTATGATGACAGACACTAAATCTGCAAGTGCCTTGATCTTGGTCTAGCCTTCAAACCTATGAGAAATAAATGCTTGTTGTTTATAAGCCACCCAGTTTATGGAATTTAGTTACAGCAGCATAAATGGACTAAGATACAAGGCAATGAAGTTTTTAACTTTGAGTAAGAT